AACAAAACACTCAGTGCTGCCTTCAAGTAAGACATCCCTAAATGGTGTTTTTGTTGAGCGATCAATAGTAATAAATTCAAGCAGCTGGCCAGTCGTGATATTGAATTGACGGTTTTTTCTTTTCTTCAATGAAGGTCTGCTGCAGTCGAACAGTTATTGGAGAAGAACTACAGAATCCATTGCTCAGTGCACAACATAGTGAGTCTGCTTCACTTTGACGCTTTAAATATACTTGACCTGAGACACCATTATATTCATGGCTTTTGTGGGTCTTAAAAAGTCTTAATTCTCCCTTCCCAAAAAATATGGCTTTAAAAAAGGTCTTTAATCAGGTCAGAAAGTCCTAAATTCATAGTCATGGCATTAGATGTTGCATACATTGCATTAATATCTTCGTTAGTATTTTGTCTTGTTTTACAGTACAAATATCTAAATAGCCTTAAATCAAAGTACATTTAATTAAGATGCAAAACGAAGATCCTTGAAGTCTGTTTTCTGAGAAATTGACAAAATGAAGTGAGTTAATGAGTAAAACACAAACAAACGTCTGTCACCTTTTTTCCCCTTTGAGTTAAGTTGATTTTTCTGAGCCCATTGGCAGTTTCTCAGAAAGCAAGACTTGTTGTCTCGTATGTCATTCTGCTTCTCAAGTAAATGTCTTGATTTATCTTAAATCTTGATTTAAGATTTAGATATTTGCACTGGAAAACAAGACAAAAATACTGAGGATGAACATCAGTTTTTGCAGTGTGCTATGAAGGTACAGTAAAAGTTATTTACATATTCTAATTAAGGTATTTTTTTGTAAGAAATATTTCTATTTAGAAAATCGTTTTGACATTGTATTTCATTTAATTCCTTAAATTTTCGTTAAGTGGCCTTAAAAAGGGTCTTGGAAAAAGTCTTAAATTTACTTTCATAAATCCTGCAGAATCCCTTCTATTAAAATACATTTCCAAATTGTATTGCAGGAAGTGCAACAAGATTTCAACATCACTCAAAAAATTGAAAGCATCCTTCAAGAGTCGAATTTTAGCGACAAGAGGGCACGTTCCATGGATATAGATGATTTTATGGTGTAAGTATGACGCTTCACTTCATAAAAAA